CTCGTAAGCTCTATTAAAAATTCAAAATACCGCTTTTTCGAATAGCCGCGGGCCAGGACAATTTGCGACAATCAAACCAATAATAAGCTGGCCAGCAGTCGGCTGCGAAAAGGCGGCAATAATAACAAAAAACAAGCCGCTTTGAGCAACTACTTAAGTTGACTAACTCACCAAGTTGTCGGTGGCAAAATGGCAAAAAGGCAGGGAAACGAAAATGGTCATCAACTATGCAAATTGCCAGGAAATTTTTCACTTACTTTGGCGATAGTTGTTTGTACGGGGCGGAAAAGCCGGGGAAAAGCGGGGAAAACTGACCCGCTAATTAGCTGGCGGTTACAAAAGACCAAAAACATCAGCGTCATTATCAATATCAACAGAATGTATTATATTTTTCCTTCTTTCCTTTTCTTTCCTTTCCAGCAAAAGCTATAGCAAACAGCCATTATGCCAATCGATACATCGATTTCCTAGGCGAGGGGGTGGCAAAATGTCACATGCAGACCAAAGTTTATGCCAAAGATGATGGCATGTTGTGGAATTTATGAGGGATTGGGTTGTCCGAGGAGCTCCGGTTACTCAAATATTGTCTGGATACCGCCATTGTCCTGACATATCTGTGCCAGACCTGGCTTTCGAATATATGTATACAAGTAGTTGAGGCACTACAAATCCGTTAAGGGATTTCACACTCAAAAAATTTTTTTTCCTAAATTTTAGAAAATCGCCATAAAATGAAATTTTTTCTTAATTTTAGAAAATTTTCTGAATTTTAGAAATTGTTTTCTTGAATCTAGGAAAAAAGACCATAAAAACAGAATTTTATGAAAAACCTTTCTAAAATTTAGAAAAATGATTTTTTTCTTAAATCAATGGTGTTTTTTTCTAGTTTGCTCTCCAAAAATTTTCTTAAATTAATGGCGATTTCGCCATTAAATTAAGAAAAAATGTACTTCAGCCCTTCCTATAATCTAGAAAGTCGCCATAAAAAATACGGTAAATTTTTCTAAATTTTAAGAATTTTTCTGAATTAAAAAAAAATGTTTTCTTGAAAACAGAAAAGTAGAATTAAAAAATCACCATAGATTTAAGAAAAACTTTTTGTATTTCTTTTATGCTTCTCACTCTTTCTTCGAAACGAAAAAGAAGAAGACAAGGGGTTAGTCCGCGGCGCGTTGCGACGACAGTTTTTGGCGTATGTATGTATATGTTTATGTGTGTTTGTGCGTATGATCGAGAATTTTCTTGTGCGTAGCTGTAACTTTTATTGCGTTGTTGTTTTGGAAATGCAGTCTCTCGCGAGAGAGTTGCTTGCGTTGCGCTGCATTTTGAACTCTTGTGCTCAGTTTTGGATGAGCATTCAAAGTAATAAGTTTGTGTTGAGCCCATTTAAGAAAGTTAAAGTGCGATCCCTCTAAGAGGCAATTAATAGGTAAGCAATTTAAATAAATTTAAATATAAATTTGGTAAGTGTGTGAAAATTTATGGTAAGCAAAGGGCATACTATTGCAGGCCGCAAATACCATCCTTCTCTAATATTAATTTTTATTTTCGATTGCAGGAATAATTTCAATTTCAGGTATTGTTGATAATTTGGCAGTAAGTAAGTAAATTTTAATAATAGGTAATATATTAAATACCTACTTAATATTCATATTAATAATTTTTATCTTTTTTGTTTTCTTTTCTTTTTTCCTTTTTTGTTTAGGAAATATTTTTAATGTAATTTTTATCTTATTTTGTTTTCTTTTCTCTTTTTTCTTTAGGAAATATTTATTATCTTATTTTTATCTTTTTTGTTTTGTTTTCCTTTTTTGTTTAGGAAATATTAATAATTTTCTTTTCATCCTTTTTATTTTCTTTTCTCTTTCTTGTTTAGGAAATAAAATAGTAAAATAAATATGTATACATTTTATTAAAATAAATAAAATTTTCTGAAAATAAAAAAAGTCCTTTCTTATTTTAAGAAAAAAAATTCTATTTTCAAGAAAAGTACTTTCTGGATTTAAGGAAATTTTTCGCAATTTTATGGCAATTTTTTTTGATTTTAGAAAAGTATTTCTGCTTTTCAGAAATTTTTTTCTAAATTTTAGAAAATTCCTTTCTAAAAAATACGGTAAATCGCCATCGACTGAAATTCATGGCGAATTTCTTGATTTAATGGCGATTTCAGGCTGTTTTTTTTTTGAGTGCAGAGTTGAACTCCTCAAATAGCAGACATGGCAGTCAGTTCTTAGCTATTTAATAGAGTAGTAAATAGAATATTTAACCTAAAGATAAATATAACATTTAAATAGAGTTGCCAAAAGATCGATGTCTTACCCAATAATATGAAGCTTTTTTGTTTCGGGAGAACAATGTTTTCGTTTTGAATGAATTGATGTTAACCAGTTTCTAGGCAAATATCAAAAGTACGAATATGGAAAAAGTGTGATTTTAATATCTTAAGTAACTGATTTTTATTTATTTCAATTTGTTATATAAAAGCTATTTATTTTATTTTTGCTCAACTTTCTTTTAATTTTAAATATGTTATGGATTAATAATACAGTTGAATATTAACAGATCTGAATTGTTGAAAAAAATATAATTGTTCGAATTAATCTATTATTTGCCTTAACAGATCGAAAACAATAGATTTTCTGAAAATCGATTTATTCGCGACTCTATAGAGTACTGATTGTTGGATGGTGATACAATATTCTAAATTTTTTCACATATTTTTTGTAATATTTCAAAGTCAAGGCGAGGTAAAATCTACAAAATCTAAGCTTTCTTAATTGCATGAACCCCTATGTACATAAGTATTTTGCATTTATTCCGCACCCAACTTTGTTTTTCTATTCGATTTGAAACTTTTTGTACAATTGTATTAAACAGATGGCTCAATGCCTTTTTGTCAAAGACAAATGATAGGTGAATATGTTATCGCCGCTTGGCCAAAACGAATTTCGATTCAATTTTTGGCGAAGGGGGGTTTATTTTTATTAAGCATTTGATTGTCTGGCTAGATAAATTGTATGGCATATATGCCAGAAACCAATTGCAATCTTCCCTGCGTCCTATGCATAAATAATACAGCAAGCGTATCGAATTTTGCTAGAGACAAAGGGTGGCGAATAAAACAAAATTACGCATACGCCATGTGGGCCACGTCAAAGATGGAGAAGGGGAGTGTGTGAAACATTTTGGCATTGGCATTTGCCATGAACACTGAACACTCTCGCAGTTTTGCTTAATAATTTATTATGCCTTGGCAGTCACAAAAGTCACAGGGAAATGGAGAATGGGAAAGGAGAAGGGGGAGATTCGAGAGAGAGTTATATACAGTGGAGACATTTTGTTACATATGTTTCATTTGCGCGTCTGTTTGTGTAATTTACAGTCACACAAAACCGCAAATAAAGTTGCCAACATTATGGTTGAAGCATTTGGGTGGAGAACTCGTGAAAGGGGCGAAAGGAGAAAGGGGGATGAAGAGAGTGAGTTAGGGGGCTAGCGAGGCCACATCAAATGAATGCGAAGACAAAACGCTAAAAAGTCAACAATAGGGAGCGAGTCTCAATAAAGGGTTGCAAATGTGGGGTGCACTTCGAAAAAAGATTATAAAATATCGAAAAAAATAAATAAAAATTATTTAAAGAATGGATTACATAATAGTTCGATCTACAGCTATAATATATATCTACATAATATTTACAATGTATACAATTATTTGATAATTTAAAAAAAAGTATTTAAATTAAATAAAGAATTTATATTTACAGCTATAATATATATCTATACCTATAATACTTACAGTGTTTAAAATAATCGGTTATTATTCAAAAAATATATCTAGAAATAAGTGAAGAATATTTACACTAGACATAAGTTAAGTTTATAAGTGTAAAAAGACATCTGCTAAATTATGAAACAAGCATTCATAATAATTTCAATTATTAATGAATATTTTTACCATTTTTTCTCAGTGCACTGAGCAATGAGCTGGAAAAGGGAGCCAGCATACATTATGACAATAACATGTTGTTGCTGCTGCTTTTGGGGCTCAGGTCTATATTATTTTTTCTAGGTTAGCAGTTTGAAAAACCCCCCACCCAACCCCCCAACTTTGACTTCGATGTGGGTTCGTTCTAGGGCCGTTAACCGTTATGGCAAAGAGTTCTACCATTACGACCGCATGCCGCAAAAAGCGCAATTGCAAAATAATTGAAAGCACTCCACTGAACTCTGAACCTCTCAGCCCCTCACCTTCATTATTTCACCTGGGCGACAGGAAAAGGAAAAGAAACCCGGTGGCGCTGCTCATTTTATTGATTTTGTTTGACGGAGATAGTGTTTCATTTTCGTGGTGGGGGAAATAAGTGTCTACCTGCGATAAATATCGATAATAGTGACTTGAATGAATGTTTTTTGGATTATCTATTAACTTTTAATTTTGTCAAATATTTACTTTAACAATTGCCGAGAAAATATTTATTTATTATATTTTATCAAATAAGTAATTTTAATCGTAGAGTAAAAGGAAATGGTATTCAATAATGGAATGCAATATCTTGAAGATACGAAACGGCAAAGCAATTGATTGCTCATAACTTTTTTCTGAATGGTTCGACTTAAACAATTTTTGGATGGATATTCCAAACAAAATCATATTAACACTTTTATAAAATCTTTAAAAATATAGGCACTTAATATACATATCTTATTAAGCAATTGAGGGCGCTAGATTGGGCGTGGCTCATTCGGATATTAAAATTGCGCTGAAGCTAAGAAAGCTATATCAGACATCTCAACTTCCGAGACCACAGTGCTGAAACGGAAATAAGTACGGAAATTCCCAATGGTGATATGAAATGATTACGGTTTCCCAACATGAAGAAAAAGTCCCTGACGTGGGATTTACCCTTATCAGTAATGTTCTTGGTTTCATTATTGTTAAAAAAGCATCTTAAATTCAGTACGTTTTAAGAGTTCTCCGTGAATAGTTAGTCAAATTCGAAATGCTGAAGCTGACATATTTTTCTGTGCTGCTCCTTATTATCCTGGTGTCTCAAGGATCTGTTGCGAAATCCCAGGATAATGGGCGATCCACTTGCCTGTTGCAGGACCCTCAAAATCAGTGTGGCGACTTCTGCCTTAGCAAGATCCATCCGATGATTGAGTTGGTTCCCGAAACGAATTCCAAGTTGGAAAGGATCTCCCGCGAGCAGCAGTCCATCCAGATGAAGCTCGTGGCAGTTCAGTCGACGGTGGAGGCCCAAAGGATCACTATGCAGAATTCCTTGAAGAACATCACCACGAAAGAAGAGTTTGGCGCGAAACTCGGCGACACGAAGGAAAAACTTATGGCGGTGATTTTTGAATTAAAAAACCAACTTCAGTTGCTGACCACAAAAATGGAGGACCAAAGGACCATCAAAAAGGACGACTTTGAGGAGCGATTGAATGTGACGGAAGAGCAACTTTTGGTCTCGAATTCCGAGTTAAAGACCCAACTGAAGGAAATGGACACGAATGCAAGAGATCAGGAGATATCCATGCAAACCAAACTGGATGCCCAATTTCTGGCGGTTCAGAAAAAACTGGAGGACCAGAACACAGCCATATTTGAATCCTTTGAAGAGAGATTAAATGGAACGGAGGGACAAATACGGATGTTCGACATCAAAATGGAAGCCCAACTAAAGGAGCTTCAAAACAAAACTGAAACCCAACTTCTGGCGCTGGAGAACCAACAATCGGCCTTTCAGAAAACCCTTCTCGAAACCCTTTCCACAATCAAATTCAAAACCATCGATCCAAGGTTCAAGCTTATTGGCTCAAGATATTTTTATATCGAAAATAATATTGAGAAATCCTGGGGTGAGGCTGCAGAAACATGTCGTAGAATGGGCGGCTATTTGGCGGCTTTCAAAAACCAAGAGGAAATCGCAGCCATAAAGCCGAAACTTTACCAATCTCGGTATTGGACTGGCATTAAGAGGAAAGATGGCAAGTTCATATCTACGGCCTCCGGAAAGTCTGCCCCCTTTTTAAAGTGGTTAGAGGGAGATCCCGACCATAAAGGTGATTTCGTTGCTATACTTGCGAGTCGTGATGGGGGGATTATGTCTAATTTATATGGTTCTAACACAAATTATTTTATTTGCCAATCAGATCAAGAGACATAAATAGACGCAATGTAAGTTGTAAGCTTAAAAGGTTTCATCAGTTAAAATTTGAATAAAGTTGGTATAATTTAAGCCTGCTAAAGGCTATATCTTAAAATTTTTATACCCGTTACTCGTATTGTATTCGTGCAAAAGTACTTAACAGGTAAGGACTTTTAAAAAAGGCTGGCGTCTAAATCTTTACACATTTTGTAAATGTTTAAATGTCACTTTTTTGTGTATATTAATACCCATCGAAATGGAGAAGAATTTTTCAATCGGACAATCAATTAAAAAGTTATGAGCGAAAAAAAATGGCCGTTAGATGGAGCCAGTAGCTTTGACGACTGCCGAATCTCAGCTCCCTTGCACTTTCTTTAGCTGAGTAATGGGTATCTGATAGTCGAAGTACTCGACTATAGCGTCCTTTCTTGTTTTAATTTGCCCTTGAACAAATTATTTTTTAAAGCAAAATTTCAATTTGACCTTGTTCAATTTTCTATTTCAAAATTTAAATTTGACCTTGTTCAATTTTCTATTTTTTACAACAATTTCAATAAATTGTTCTTCAATAACTCAACAATTGAACTTGAAGTTGAACAACTTTCGGCGCCCACAAGAAAGGCTCTCCAAAAGTGAACTTTCCGCACTCAAGGCATATTGAAAATATGTCTGGATATATACGTAAAACACATATATATGTATTTAGACACAGTGTTAGTCACAGTTAAATATATATATATATATATATGTACGGGAGGAGGACCAACCGTAACAACAAAGGACATCAACATTTTCAATAGATTTCCGCTAACAAGATAAATAGTTCGAGTTGAAGTTAGACAAGCTGCAGGAAAATGGGTTGGAAAAAGGTGAAAGACGGCGGAGAGGAAAGGCAGGCTAAAAAGAGATGGAGCTAGAAAGCCAGAGAGGAAGTGTTCCTGAAGATACAACAAATGGAAAGCCGAAAAAGCGGAGGAATGCCAGAAAACCAGCAACAGACGTTAGAAATCGCCAGAGAAGCAGACTGGAAAGAGAGGGTGCTTTGCCGGGTAACTGAGAGCGAAAGAGACGGACTGAGGCAGTTCGAAAGAGACGGGGACACTTGGCCATTATTGATATCAAATTGAAAGTGGCTTAAGTGGCTTGGTCGAAGCCAGCGTGAAAAAAAGGAAAAGCATGTGTGTGGCTTTTCTTTTTTTCCTTCGTTTTTTTTTATTAGCCGGACAGGATGAAAATCATATTTGGGGGAAAATGGCATCCCAGTTGCACACATATTAAATATCCTGCTTAAATATCCTCCCACAGCTTCCTATTGATTTTCCACCGCCCCGCCACATTTTCATTTCCTATTGCAATGATTTTGCTCGTCTTCTATTTTTTCCCCTGCCGACTTTTTCCTTTGCCTCGCCGGCTATTTATTTTGGCCTTCTTTTGACACCAGAAGAAGAGCAGCGGCGGCGGAGGAGCACATTCACGTCTGCCATCGTCATGAAGAAATTTGTAATAAAAATTCAGCAGCAAATGAGAAAAGCTCACACATACACGGAGAGAAAAGCGGGGGCGCGTTGGCTGGTTGAGTTTTCCCCTTCACTGCCTTTTTCACCTTTTACACGTGCAAAACTATGCCAGAGCCTCCTCATCTCGGGCTTCTCCTTGTCCTGGGTCGTCGCATTTAATAAGATGGGTAAGGCGAAACTTTGAGCCCGTTCACGGGTTAAGGGCGATCGCGGGGCAGGGTTAATGGGATATGACAGAAAGTTTTCCATTTTTGATTACCGGGATTTTTAAATCAAAACTTTCAAATGGGCCAGGCGAAGCGTCTTTATCGCTTGGCTTAAATTTTTATGAAACTAAATCAATATCGAAGGAGAATATTTATGAATAGAAGAGCTTTAAAAAAATATATCTCGATCGAACTATAGATAGTTTTCAACGTTTATACCTCTAAGCTAAATATATATTAGCCCCTTTCAGACAACCAGTTTTGCGACTGTCCTTATATTATAGTTGATGGGTCCAAACTGCCGCATAAAGACGAAATATTGTTACATTTAAGCAGGGTGCCAGAAAAGGCGGAAAAAGAATTGAAATGTGCGGACAAACGAGGAATTGTGGAATGCCGTAAAAATGAAATTTAAACCGAGTTTCCTGGGCGCCGGCGAAGAAGTGGCCGCCATAAATGAAAATAAAGTTTAAATTGCAGAAAAACATTGCATAGAAATTGCTATTTATTCAATGTTGGCCATCGCCAAACTGCAGCTGTGCCAAATTACAAGTTGAGCGAAAACTAGAAAACGAAAAGCGGGCTGGAAAATCTTTTTTGGGCAGTGGGGGGTTGGAGTGGTGCAAAAGGAAACCAAATCGGAACCAGCTTAATGTCATTAAATTAGCGCCCGAACAAATCAGCCGGAAAAGCGAGGCGAGGGAAAAGTCGCCACCATGATTTTCTCTCTCCCTCCTCAGTTTTCATTTCGACCGAGTCATAAAACATGATTGTAGAGCTCGAAAAAAGTCGAAAAAGAAAAAAATGAGTCACAGCAGGCGCCGCAAATCAACACGTAGACCCGGGACAAAAACTAACCTGACCCAAGCATTTGCGATCCTAACCCAACGGATCCCATCCCATTTCGCACTTGTTCGGCGCCATTTCAACCCTTTTCCAGTTGTTGAGTCAACTATTGAGAATTTCTGTTATTGTATAAAACAGTTTCGAGATCTGGTCGAAGTTTGGGTCACCCCTTAATTCGATTGGGTTCACCCTTTGGCGGAGATTTCGTTTTTGGAGGCTTTATTTGGTATTATTAAAGATTTCGTTTAACGTTTGTAATTTGAGTTAACGAAAGGTCAAAATTAAAAATTTTTCCCAAACTGGTTACCCAAAATATTTATATTTATGTGTAAACTTTTTAAGTGGTGACCCAAAAATCTAAATTTTTTTGTGATTTTCTAATTTAATATCTTGAAATATTGTAAGGCTACTTCATAGATTTAAAATTGTTTGAAGGAATATTTATAGAAGTAATTATATTTTCCCAAGTCATTTTATTTTTAGTATATTTAAGGGAATATTAATTATTATATTTTTATTATTATATTAAGTAGTTTTAAAAATATACCTTCTTACCTTTCACAATACAATTTTATTTTTAAGTATGTACTCCAGAATTGGCCAAGTCCATCATGCCCCTAGAAATGACCGATAACTTTCCACATAAATCACACATGTCTGGGTTGTATCATAATAACAAGCAGGACCCAAGTTTTGCGTCGAGGAAAAACGCGTGGCAGCCTTCAAGAGAAATGCGGAAATGCGGTTTGGCTCGGTGTGGACCCCGGATCCGGGAAGCCGAGAAGCCGGGAATCGGGGAATCCGGGGATCTGGGATCTGAATCTAGATCTGGACTTTTATTGGACGGCTTCTTGCGCGGGGCTGACAATTATGAAATGCTCCGAGTGGAAAAACAACACGAGGCCAACTGTCTAATGAGAAAACAAAGTCAGACGACAGCGGCGTTGACAGTTTTTGTGTGTTTCGGAAAAAGGGGAAAAATCCGAGGGAATTCGTTTGGGGAGGAATAAAAATAAAAATAAATAAAAATATAAAGCGGAAGTGGCATAAAAAAAACATGTGGCAGCATTTTCTCCAGCGCTGTCTCATTTCTTCTTGGCCACGCACGCAAAAATGTGTTGCCCGCTTTTCCGGTTCACTTTTCCCCCTCACCCCACACCTCACCCCTCACCTTTGGCCGGACTTTTCTCGGACGCTCCGAGAGGCATGCAAAAGCTCTCCTCTAATACCTTCAGTTCGCCGCCCCTTTTTGCGCCTTTTTCGACCATTTTCCTACCCATTTTCCTTTCGCACAGCGAGACAAATATTAATAAAATATACAACTATTAGTCATTGGCCCGCTGTTTGTGTATGTTGGGGCTTGTATTTTTAATATGCGAGACAGAATAAATATTCATAAAAGTGGCTAAGCACCCGGGTGCGATGTTGTGTGGGGGTAGGCCAAGGGAGGGGGCGTGGCGGTGGGCGGAAAAATGGGGGCGGGGTGCAAACAGAGGAGCGGCAAAGTCAAGGCGAAAAGAGTCTAGGCCAATACAAATATTCTTGGGCGGCTAACTTTTGAGGAAAAAATTTTAATAGTTGGGGGAAAAATATAATAATCACTCCATAAATTATTTTATATTTTTTATAATTATTTATTTCAAGTATTTTCTTAGCTAAATAATTCCAAAATTGTATTTCTCAGCCCATCGAAAAAATATGTATTTCCGAATGAAATGCGCACACTTTTCCGCTGATGGATAACCCATAAAAAGCGGGCTTAGCCCTTGTAAGCAAGCTTTTCCACGAAAATTTCCACCCACCAGGGGGTGGGCGGTGGTGAAAATAAACCATACCCCACCCACCCAACATCCTGCGAGTCAACTAACAATAAGACTGACGAATGTTGGGCCATAAAAATAAATACCTGCTGACATTTTTCATTGTAAATATTTTGTAGCTGCTGACGCGCCAAGCCAACTGACTTCAATGTGGGCGTGTATATGTATACGGATATGTGTATGCGTGTGTGTGCTTGTGGAGCGGAGGCGGAGGAGGTGGCGGTGGGTGTGGTTGCCCCATGGTGAGAGGTGTGCGTGGAAA